CCAGCCCCCTTATCACAGCATTATCACCCCCCTGCGTTGCTTCACACGGCTCTCATTTTGTGCCCCCCCCCCCAGCTGATCAGGTGTACGGAGATCAGGACATGCATGAAGTGGTGCGGAAGCACTGCATGGATTATCTGGTGAGGGGGGGGGGAGACTTCGTGATGGGGGGGCTGGAAAGCACTGGGATGTACTGGGAGGGGTCTGGGGAGCGAATAGGTGGGCACTGGGATGTACTGGGGGGCACTGGGGGGGAATTGGGGGGTACTGAAAGGAACTGAGGTGTCCCGCGGGGTCCTTCGGTGTCCTGGCAGCCAACTGTGGGGCACTGGGAGGGATTGGGAAGCATTGAGGGGGGCACTGGGATGTACTGGGAAGTACTGGGCCATACTGGGGAGCGAACAGGGGGGTACTGGGATGTACTGGGGGGCACTGAAAGGAACTGAGGTGCCCTGGGGGGTATTTTGGTGTCCTAAGAGCCAACTGTGGGGTACTGGGAGGGATTGAAAAGCATTGAGGGGGGCACTGGGGCGTACTGGGAAATACTGGGCCATACTGGGCCTCACCCCTGCCGTGTCCTCAGATGAAGAACGCCGACTATTTCTCCAACTACGTGACAGAGGATTTCACCACTTACATCAACCGCAAGCGCAAAAGCACCTGCCATGGGAACCACATTGAGATGCAGGCCATGGCCGAGATGTACAACCGACCCGTCGAGGTCTACCAGTACGGCACTGGTACGGCCCCAGTATGGCTGGGAGACCCCGCAGAGGGGCTATGGGACCCCACAGGGGGCCGTCAGCCCCCCAGTTTGACCTGGAGATCCCTCTGGTGCCTTTGTGGGGTGCTGATGTGGGGGTCTCTGTTCAGACTGAGGGTCCTGGGGTGTTGTTCTGGCCTTTTATGGGGAGGGGTTGGGGTCCCTATGGGTCCTCAGGGAGTGTTTTGGGGTCCCTATGGGTGCACAGGGACCATTTGGGGTTCCAAAGGTGCCATTTAGAGGGTTTTCCAGGTTGTTTGGGGGTCTCTATGGGTCCCCAGGCAGTGTTTTGGGGTCCCTATGGGTGGACAGGGATGATTTTGGGGCTCACAGATGCTGTTCAGAGGGTTTTCCAGGCTGTTTTAGGGTCCCTATGGGTCCCCAAGCAGTGTTTTTGGGGCCCCTATGGGTCTCCAAGCACTGCTGTGGGGGCTTTCCATGCACTTTTGGGGTCCCATGGTTCCCCAGATGCTGCTTTGGGGGTTTCCATGTAGCCATGGGGGGCCCAGGTGCCATTTTGGGATCTCTGCCCACCCCATGTGGTGTTTTTGGAGTTCTCTGTGGGTCCCCCGGTGCCTTTTTGGGACCCACAGGTGGTCGTGGGTCCATGAGGTGGCGTTTTTTGGGGTTTTCCAGATGGCCATGGAGCCCCTCTGAGCCCCCAGGCAGCACTTTGGGGCACTCAGATTTCCTTTTAGGGTCCGGAGGGTCCCCAGGTTCTGCTATGGGGGTGACTGTGGGGTCTGCCCCCCCCCATTCCTGGGGGTCTCACGTGCTGCCGTCCCCACAGAGCCCATCAACACCTTCCATGGGATCCAGCACAACGAGGACGAGCCCATCCGGGTCAGCTACCACCGCAACATCCACTACAACTCCGTCGTCAACCCCAACAAAGCCACCATTGGGGTGGGGCTGGGGCTGCCGTCCTTCAAACCTGGGGTCAGTGGGGCACGGGGGGGGGGCGGCTGTTTTGTGTTGCGAATGGGCGTGGCCTGCGGGAAGGGGGCGTGGTTTGCTGCTAGGAGGCGTGGCCACGTGTCAGCATCTCACATAGTGACGCGGTGGGAGGCGTGGTCTGTGAGGTTGGGGGCGTGGTCTGGGAGGAAGTGGGTGTGGTTTGCCAAGAGGGGGCATGGCCTGATAAAATGGGGGCGTGGTTTGCTGTTAGGGGGCGTGGCCACGTGTCAGCATCTTGCTGGTAGTGACGCGGTGGGGGCGTGGTCAGACGGGGCGTGGCCTCTCTGAAAGTGGGCGTGGTTTCCTGTTGGGGGCGTGGCTACGTGGTGGTATCTTGCAGGTGGTGACGTGAAGAGGGGGCGTGGCCAGATTGGGGCGTAGTCTGAGGGGTGTGGCTTGATGGAAGGGGGTGTGGCTTACACGGTGGCCCCGCCCACAGCTGGCAGAGCAGTCGCTGATGAAGAGCGCCATCAAGACGTCGGAGGAGTCGTGGATCGAGCAGCAGATGCTGGAGGACAAGAAGCGTGCCACCGACTGGGAGGCCACCAACGAGGCCATCGAGGAGCAGGTGGCCCGCGAGTCCTACCTGCAGTGGCTGCGTGACCAGGAGAAGCAGGCCCGGCAGGTCCGCCTGCCCCCATCCCACCCTGCTGTGGGTTCTGGGTCCCGCTTTGCACCTCTCATCCCTCCCCTCCGACCCGTTCCACCGCCGCGCTCATCCCTATCCGCACCCATTCCTTTGCTCCGCACCTCACGGGGCCCCCAGGATCCCCCCCGTCCCCATTGGGGATGCCTGAAGCCACCCCCATCCCCACATGGGGAGGGATTCCCTGCTGCCCTCATGTGTGGCCCCCCATATAGGTCTGCATATACACGACACCCCATATGTGTCCCATTCAGCTGACCCCTTTGCTGCTCCTCCACATATAGCCCCCCCACATATGACCCCCCCCTTATATGACTGCTCATCTGACCCCCTCCCCATTTGTGACTCTCTCATCTACCCCCCCCCCACATCTTACCCCTATTGCTGAGCCCCCATGCCTGACTCCCACATCTGCCCCCCCTCCTCCCCATAGCTGCCCACCCCCCATAGCTGCCCCCCATCACTGACCCCCCTGCCTTCATTCCCCCCCAGCCCCGCAAGGCCAGCGCCACGTGCAGCTCAGCCACAGCAGCGGCCTCCAGCGGTCTGGAGGAGTGGAGCGGCCGCTCCCCCCGGCCCCGCAGCGCCGCCCCCTCCCCGGAGCACCCTGGGCTGCACCCCGAAGCCCCCGGCCCCAAACCCCCATCGCCCAGCGTCCCTCCCCCCGGAAAACCCCCGTCGCCCTGTGCCCCAGGTGGGTTTGGGTGGGTTTGGGGTGGAAGGGGTGAAATTGGTGCTAAAGGGGGAATTGGTG